AACCAAGTCTGATCTTGCTTAGCTTTCTGAGATCAACTGTCAGTTATCTGACAATACAGAAATTGAAGTACTGTTTCAAAAAGGGTTGGCTGTTAAATGAAAAGTGAATACAAGCATTTTAAATGACAGGGCTCAGTTCAAAGGGATCAAATAGGAATAGAATGAGATGTGCATCTAACTGGAATAGGTCTCTCAGAATACTATTTCTAGAAGCACAAAACCAAATTCCACCAAAAAATCCATTCATCCTTAATTCATATTCTTCTTCTCTGCATAGGTCTCAAGAATAGGGCACTGAGAAACAGGATAAACAACTGAAACCACATGTTGCTGCATATCTCTACTTCTGCAAAAGAATTTAACCTAAAACAAAGAAAGGAAGTGACAAATGAGTTTACCTGCCAGTTCTCAAGAGACATATTCAGAACAGAAACTGGATACAAATCTTCACTGTACTATACAGTATACAAGATAAAGTAAGTTTATAATGTTAAGTTAACCTTTTGGGGAGGCCACATTCTCCCACAAGAGGGGGGAAGTGGCAAAGGTCACTTACAGTACTTTTATTAAAGACAAATTTGTAGCCATTGTTCTAATTTAAAACATTATAATAGAACTAGCCTTAGTGTGTATGAACTTCTCATACCAATGCAGAATTCTCTATAGTCAGAGATATAGTATAATACTTCACACTGTATATAACATTTTTAAAATGTTAGTATTGCTGATGTATAGCAAATCAAATGTAAATTTGTGTTTTTCTTCAAGCCATCCCAAAAGAAAAAGCACTGAAATTTCAAGTAACTAACTTTATCCCTACTTAAAAACAGTTCTTTTGAATCAGACCAAAAGCCTATTAAATCAATATGTACAAAAGCCAGACAGATAACTATCAAAAGGCTGTAAGTCAGATGTGAGGATAATAATACTCCATATGCTGCCTGTAATTCAGAAGGTAATACACTACATCAAGACTCACGACTAGGACAGTTCTCTATTGCTTGCGTTTATTTTGTACTCTTTTAAAATTATCTGTATTGTGAATGTCACCATAGGCTGATGGCGGTGAGTTCAGCAGTTAAGTCTCTTTTGTACTAAATCACCATCTATTTAGTTTCAATAGAGGATCCTATCTTCCATCTGAATCTGTCACGGACCTCAGAATTTTAATAAAAACAAATTGGGTCCTTGCAGGCCCCAAATTGCTTTTTCAAATATTATAGCAGAGTTTTGAGGAGTCAATGGTCGCTCTTGAAATTACTAGATCTCCTATAGACAGCTAATTTAGTATAGAAAATCTCTTGGATGTGAAAAATGTGTTGCCAGTCCCAGTACATTATATTGCCCTTGCTATTAGACATATCTCTTGTTAATATGGATAACAAAACATGGTTTATTAAACATATGGTGTCTGAATGAGTTCATATAATGTAGTAAGCCAAAAAGTAAACAAATCATATTTGACTCTTCTTTTCCTTCATTTTCGCTTAGCAACAGAAATTTTGGGCTCAATTGTAGTCGTAAATCAAGGATTATCTGTATCCTAACAGTTATTTGTGTGGGTTGGTTAATATATTGGAAGTGTTACACAGGTAAATTAAATAATATTTGCAGCCTCAAGCAAATACAGGGTCCAGATCTCTGTCGTGCAGTATATTAGACAAAATAGGTCCACAACTGGTTCAGACAGATTCTTTTTTAAGAATACCAGGAAAATCATACACCAATTATTACAACTACTACACTGTCTTGTGTTTATCAATGTCTGATATATCACTAGGTATAGAAAACCTATGGCAGTGGTGGCGAACCTATGGCACGCGTGCCAGAGGTGACACTCGGAGCCCTCTCTGTGGGCACGCACTCCATTGCCCCAGCCCTGCTTCCCCCCGCAGCCCCCTCCTCACCAGCAGCCCCCCTGGAGGAGAGTCTCCCCCAGGCATGGCCCGTGTGGAGGAGCACAGCCAAGGACATGGCAGCCGGGCAGCAGGGACAAGACTCCGACCTTGCGCCCCATTGCGTGCAGATGATGCTGCGGGGTGTGGGCGGAGGGCATGGCTGCCATGGTACTACAAGGCCACCTGGCGATCTGCTGCAGTGGGCCATGGAGGTGGTGAGTGGCCCTGCAGGTGGGCGTGGCAGGGGCAGAGCATGGGCGGGCTGGGGGGGCGGGGTGTTTTTTGAGCACTCGGTCTCTAAAAGGTTCGCCATCACTGACCTATGGAATGATCTTATAGGATAAGAAAATGAAGCACTACCAGGGCAATAATCATAGTAAGTGGGGCTTTAACCTGGGCCAAAAAATTAGTTTCAATAAACATCTCAAACAGGCCCCTCCCTAGTGCACAGAAATATAAAATGGGGGAGGGAAATGCTTATTCAGACTTCCAAAGTTCTGCTCCCATATCTGTTACAATAAAAGTAATCCTAACCTCTACATTCTATGATTGTAATGAAAATACTTCCCTTGAAATGAAACTTACAAAAATATAATTAACGATCTATAGATATTATCAATTTAATTGTATGATTAGATGTTGTAAGAACAGCTATTAAGGCGAAAAGACACTGAGACAACACCCAAGATCTTCTCTTGAATTCTAATTTACATGAACAAAATGCTGAAATAATACTCAGGTTTCAAAATAAAGCATACATTATCAAACTCACCCCAATGAACTTGTTAAGAGTTCACACAAATGTTGTAAGAGGTCATGTAAGCAAATATTTTGTGAAATATGAAGTCTATGCCCCCATTCCTATTCCTAGCAAATAAATATACTAGGAGCTTCAGAACGCAAATTATTTTTTATTTACGTATTTACTCAGATGTACATGCTGTTCCAGTCACATGCACATATATATACATATGCATGTAAAAATATATAAAACCATATACATATAGCTTTTTGAGATATTTTACTGCATAAGAAATAGATAATATAGGCCTGGAGGGCAACAGGAATATATTTGTTACAAATTGCTACTGATATTAAGAGCCGTACTTAAGAGGAACCTATTATATCTGTGTGAATACTGAAACTTAGTATTTTTAAATTATATACAGTACATACATACATACATACATACATACATACATACATACATACATACATACATACATACATACATGAGCAGGTGTATATCAATAACTATTGAGATGCCCTTTCTGGTCTGGGATTGTCTAGACCAGGGGTGTCAAACTGCTGGCCTGTGGGCCGGATGCATCAGGGTGAAACCGTGCCCACCCCATTGCCGGCAATGGAAAAAAAGTCAAGATACGTCACGACATGTCACGACATGTCACGTGACATTGCGAGCTTGACACCCACGTCTAGACCTTAATATCTGAAAACCCTTCTCATGATCTTGCCTATGGACAATAACCAGAGTAGTTGTGGCTGTCTGTAGAAATATGTCAGGAATCTTCAGTTTACTAGTTCCATTAAACTGCACTCTTCATTCATCTATATGAGTCCTTTGATGGGATATTGGAATATGGATTTTACTTTATTGAAAAAGTTTTTGGATCTGAAAGTTCCTAAACCAAAAACTTGAAGCATTAGGAACACTGGAGTTATGCTGATACTTTTATTTTCATATGGGAAACCATCCTAATGCAGGTTATGAAAAGCTCTGTATACGTACAGCTAGTAGAAAAACATTAAATAAAGCAGTAATGTATCAAATAAATGATAATGGAGGCAAGGAGTAGCCCATCACAAGGCCCATCACAAGTTCACAAGCAGAAAGTAGCCCATCACAAACTCACAAGAAGGACTCTAGCAGCTTCCACTTAAATCCTTAACAACTGATAGAAAAAAAGCTTTATAAAAATCACTTATATTTCCCTATATATTTACTATTACAATTGATATGATAGCTGAGTGATAAATCTTTTTCACATCTGACAAAATATAGATCTGAACACTATTAATTCCTTACCTCTACCACTATTGCAGAATTTTAATTAAAGAACTAAATTCCAAAATTAGTTAAGAAAAACATGAAGAGTATAATTTCTGGAGCTCTTTCTAGTTTTTTTGTCAACATCTGCCATAGGAACCACCTGTATTTTCTTATCTGTAACAAAACAATGCATTGCACCTCATCTATGTCTCTCTATTCCACTCCCATCTGTGTGCTTTTGTGCAAGTATGTACACTAAGAAGCACGAATGGGAGGGAGTTGGATAGACTCCATGATCAGGAGGCAGGATAAGGGTTTAGAATGGAGCAGGAGCTACCATTCTGAGTCTCTTCCATCACTGCCCATCCCATAAGGATTTTTTTTTCTATACTTCTATACTTTTTTTCACCTCAGTCCAAACTTTGCCCATTTTCAAAGTCAATCTTTTTTTTTTCATTGATTTCTTCTGCCACACCACATTTGGACCTGTTCTATTTTCAGAAAAGTGTCCTATTGACAGATAGAATGACAGATAGTTTTGCGCTCCTTTATATGATTTTTCCCCATCATTTCGCTGGGTTAGTAGGAATAAAAAGAGGAGCCACAGCTTGGCAGACAAGGACATGATCTGTATGGCTTTATTTTAGGTGTAATCTCTCGCATCTACAAAATGTCAGCAATGGATAGGAGATGCTCTGTTGTAGAGGCACTGCAGTGCTGCTACTCAAGTAGAACAGACAGCCCTGAGCCTAAAATGTTCAATGTAATAAAGCATTATAACAATCAGAAGAATACAAGCTGTATATTTATTACTGATGGGAAAGGTCAGGGCTTTGCAGATGCTAGTTTTCTTCCTCTTTTTTTTTAAAAAAAATTAAAGTTTCTGAAAAAAAAAGTATCTAAAAAAATAAAAGAAGATGTTTAGAACCTGGTGCACAAATGACCATGAATATTATGTCTACCCTGCTCTAGAATATAATATTGAAAATATAATTCTTAATTACTGCATTAATCTATTAGTTAATGCTACAAAGATGTTTTTTAGCTCATTCTTTTCTTTCAACGATAGATACATTGCTGTCCATACTTACTGAGGTACAAAAGATGCAATTGCAATCCTGAAGAGCAGTCATCTTATCCAGTGAATATTCAGATAAGCACATTTTGCAAGTTACCAAAGACTCCAAGGGTAATTCCCCGACTTCTGCTACTCCGGTTGTCATGGTGCTGAAGCAGTTTTTAGTAGCAGAGGACATCAGTTTAAACACACCCAGCAATTCTGCAAGATATAAATCAGAATGTGCCAGTGAGAATTATTTTGCAAGCTAAAATTTAACATAACAGAATTTTAAGCAACGTATGGGTGACATCTTCTACAGCTCCATTTTTTAACTGTTCTTTTACTCATCAATATAGACTGTCAAATACACGGATAGGACTAACCCACTTATATTTTGTGCAAAATAAGGCAAGTTGCATTCCCTCCTAATTCTACAGCAGCCTTCATCAATTCAGGTAGAGAAAACACATTCAGATAAATCAACAATATAAGCTTACCAGAAATATTTTCTATCAGAAATGTTCATAACATGCCATAAAAGCTATGGTTTGGTCCACAACTAGACAAAATGAGCCACTTCCTCAGACTCTACAAACTCAAAATAATCGCTGATGATTCCACAAAACTTTGCCCTGCTTATCACCTTAGACCAACCCTGCCAATATGTAGCTTTCCAAGCAGACCTGCGCAGCCCACAGATGTTTTTTTAAAGTTAATAAATTCACCATTGTTGCCCCCAAAAGATGCACTGTCAAGAACCTACAAAACTTCCCAGGCCACATTGCCACCACCAGCTCCAGCAATGCTGCCATTCTGTTAGCTGCCAGATATATCAGGTATTCCTTTGTGGCCTGCAATGATTTTTAATTTATCAATGTGACACTTTCCTGTGTACTAATTCTGCAGATCTGCTATGGACTCTGTCCAATTGGCATCCATCCGAGATTGTATATCCCTAAGGAACCCACAGCGTCAACCTGTATATCTAGTGAAGCACTTCCCAGAAAGATCCTGCTTACTCAGTCTGGTAGACCGTTCACCTTATGTTTGGTTGATCTATGTAATATGGACAGAGCGTTTGATAAAATTGCCCTAGCACAACTTCTCTCCAGTCACTAATCAAAAATAAATGCCTGGTCTACTGAGGAAATTTGAGAGAAACGAAGTGCCTGAAGAGATGTTGGCATAAAACTCAAAGTAGACACCACCAAGTACTGTTAAGAGCACAGGTCTCAGCCTACACATTGGTGATAAGAGTGGCAAAGTGTCCGTTCTTTTCCATGCCGATTGTATCTGCAGACGTCTGAACAGAGGCCCTGTTTCATGTGTAGACTAGTGCAGTATGCGGTACATAGGTCTGTTCTTACCATTTGGAAGTAAGGCTGGTCAAAATACAGTGGCGCAAGCAGTTGTGCTTGCATCTTGGTGCACTCATGTAAATCTCTGTTACACAAACTGCATTGGTTACCAATATGTTCTAAGTCCTAGGGGATCACCTATATATTGTATCTCTTCATGGCAAAGACCCTCGCATTCTGAGGGTCAGGATTTTTCTTCTGACATTTCTGCCAGCCCTGTAAAATCTGACAGAATGGGTGTCTTTATATCCTGACAATTAAGCAATGTCATCTGTTGAGGTAAACAGTTTATTCTATTAGGGCTCCTTCCCTTTAAAATAGCTTCCCACCAGAGTTCAGACTGTATCAAACCTGCCAGCCATCAGAAGGCCTTTAAAAAACTCTTTTTTCCACAAACACTGGAGCAGGTCACAATAGGTCAATCTGTTACATATTAATTGTTTTGTGATATGCATTTCCTGATATTTGAGTTTACTTTGGGTTCATTTTGTTTGCTTTTTTAGCATAAAAACATCTTGAGTTTTTAATTCCCACTCCTCCTAATCAGTTTCGAGTTGGGGCAGCCTTATAAATCAAAATTATAAAGAAGCATAAACACATAAATAATACGCAGCAAATATTTTGGCAATCCTGGTTGGGAGTTTTGGTGGACTGCGAATCCAAATGGTTTGCCAAGTGCCAGAATGAGAAAGCCTGGTTTACTGAAAAGCTAGTACCTTGGTTTGAAATCTATTAATGCTGCTGCTTTATACTCTATACATGGTGAGTTTCTAGAACCATAGATTTTATGGTGGCCTAAAGACCTCATAAGCATTTGCAAACCTAATCAAATTAAATAATTCATAGGCCTGACTTGCCAGCAAACTTGTGTACTGTTAATAGCAAACCAACTTTGAAGTTCATCAAGGTTTTACAAGCCTGCTAGTTACAGGCAAGAGTCTAGGAAAATACCCAGACAGAATAATGCTGCTATAAAGCAGAATCATGTAAATGATTTCTGCTATACAGACACTTTGAGTAAATGAGTTTTATCCAATAGTTTAGCTGGTTTGTTTTCACCTATTATATTCTTTGTTCATGAACACTGGAAGCTAGAATATATATTGCTTTTAAACTTTCTGCAAAGTAAGAACTTGACCTGCAAATTACATTTGTCTGAATGTGTTCTTCCTACATACAAGCTTTTTCATATTAACAACATGCAATCTGTGCCACAGGTCTCTCACTATTCATCAAAGTACCAAAGAGTAATTGCTGTTTGTGTTGCATCAGTCAGCTACTTAAATTTCGTATATGTATGTACTACCAGATATTCATCCTTATGCACAGAAAAACTAATAATTGTGCCCGCTTTCAAATGAAATTACACAATGAAGGCTCATTGGGTTACAGAATCCCTTTCTATAAAAGTAATTGTCTTCCTCTAACTGCGTATAATAACAACTCTTTTATACAACAAACTATTCCCTTTCAAACATTACCAGAAATTTTGGCAACATCTTTTAGCAAACTCACAATCCCCAAGCTACTGTTCTATAGATGCTGCAGCTATTTGTATCAGTGAAACAACAACACATGAAAGGTTTCATTTTTTGGGGTTGACAATTTATTTTCCATTTGATCCATCCATACATATTCTTCCTGCCTTCTTCAGGCTCTCTTCCTGGCCGTGCCTTCCTTATTCTATGCCTTGTAAAGTCATGTGCATATTTGCTAATGTTTTATTAATATACAGATAAAAGTAACATTTCCCTTAAGTCAGCCATGACTCCTGATGACATCAAGAGCAAGCCTATACAGGGGGGGGGGTTGGCCCCCCTGTATAGGGGGATAACCCATAGGCTCATGAGTAAGGGAGAACAGAATGATCTGGATGAAATTATTGAACCAGCAATCCTAGTCCACACTTCGCTACGTGAAGTTTGTTCTTCCTAACCTACAATAAGCAGCAAGTTAGAATCGGAACATTGTGAAATTCTGTTTCCAGTATTATAGTAGTAAGAGGGACCATACGACATAAGACACATTTGTGTCCCGGAAATCTTAATCAGTGTAAAGATACTTTCAAAGAGAGCATGGCGTCAGCTTCCAGCAGGAGCGTCGCCATCGCTTCATTTCATAGACTCTCAGCACTTATCTACAATAGCATCAGCATTTCTGTCCATTCTGCCTAGCAGAAAGCTATTACTTTATCCTGTTGATCTCTGGTGTTGTTGAATGTCCTTAGATATCTGGTACGCATCAATGTATAAACTGTGTCTTTGTTTTGCTAGTAATTGCTGTTCCATCAGCAGAATGACATGACTTGATGCAGTCATATATAAAATAGATTTACCAGGATTAACTAGTTGACTGTCACTAAGTTTTTTATTAGCTAATCAAGGCATTCATGGTTGAAAATAGTAGATTTTTCCTCAGAAAATAGAATTAAATTAGAACTGAAATTCTTTATTTGGAACATTATTGTATATTCTTTCTCCATATGCACATGGGAATTCTCTTTCATGATTTTCTCCAGGGGATTGGCCAGAATCAAACCTGCTCAACTTCACAGCTAAAGTGTATAAAAATACTCAGCACACTGAGTGGGATTCTAAGTACTACAACTCTTAAGGTTAAAACAGCAGCCTACATTTTGAGAAAATCAAAGTTTTATTAAGAACTTACACTTACTTTGAAACCGGTTAGTCTAAAAATCTGAGTCCTTAATGTATGCTAAAGCAATCATCTTTTTTTATTGGCTTCGGGAAGTTTTATCTTCAACACTGCAACACAGTGTTTTTGTTTCTAATCTTTCAAGAACATTATGTGTATAGATTATAACAAAGTCTATTTAAAAATTAATTTCCCCACAGAATATTGGGAAAGACTAGAAGAGATAAGCAAATGCTAATACTTCATCCATTTAAAAGCACCCAATGTGCAGAATATTTTATGTTGCTTGGAAGCAATAAAACCCAACTAACAGGAAAAAGGAAAAACATTGAGTGGCAGCTATGGTGCAGGTATTCAAAATACCATCAAGACCCTTGTTATGCACAAAATGTGTTACTTTCCTGTTGTGTTCTCTGTATTCCCCCCCCCCCTTAATCCCCTATGCATATCCTGATCACCCATTAAGGGTGATTGCCCTTCACCATTCATCGCCCATTAAGGGTGATTGCCTTTCTCCATCTGCATACAGTTTCATGCCCGTTGCTGGTTGGCTAACTAGCAACAGGGTCTTGCCAGCCAATGGAATTGTGTGATTACAAGC